ACCTGGTGGTATCCCAAGCGTAGTAATCTGATGTTGATCTGAGACTCTGGAGAGCTGCTCTCCATGGGTTTACCAGATTCATCACAGCCCGTAACAATAGTGATAGCGGGAGTTATGATGGCGATACGATGGCTGGAAGCTCATGTGAGAGAAAATAATAGACAGGAGGCACCGACGAGAGAACAATTACGGAAATTAGATTGTCTAAAAGATTTAGATCTTTTTGAGACAATGTGCAAAGTTCTAAACATTCCGATGGAAGTGAAGAAGATATGGGCAAGAAAACGATTGATGCCATGGTTCAGAGCTAACATGACTGCATGGTTGTACGAGTATGCGAAAAAGCATATGTCGAAGCATGGCAGAGTATACAGTGAATATCAGCTGGACATTGGGGCAGGAGCTTTCAAGCGAGCTTTCGTGACCCATCGGAATGCAGTGACCACCGCTGTGAAAAGAATTTCCAGGACGAGCGAGCGTAGTGGAAATGAGAAGGCAGAGATGCTGAAAGAAGATTTGGAGAGAAACGTGACGTTGTGTCTCCACAACAGCTTCTGTAGAAACAGAGAATCAAACGTGGATCCCCTACCTTGCTGTAAACAGAGGGTGGAAGAGCAGAAGTGTTGGAGGACGGCTTCCAACAGCGTCAGGATAGTCAATGACGTGCTACAAGACACGGAAACCGAAAGTGCGGAGTCAGTGTCACAGGAGGAGGAAATGGAGCATTGACGAATGGTCGAGAAAACAAGAGGCGGCAAGAAAGAAAATTAGAAGAATTTAGAAGTTTAAGAACTTCTAAACGACGAAAAAAGAAGAGAACAAAGGGATGATGAAGAAAAGTCAAAACTCAGAATTGTTTTGTGTGTGTGAAAAACTCAAGTGAGAAACCAAGCAACCAAGTTGTAATTGAAAACTGAAACATTTTGTTGAGTTTTGAAATTGTTGCATTTATAAATTTGCATTTTGATTTTAGCAGAAGTGGCTTTAGAGACACTTATTATTTATTTAGAAAGGCTTAAGGGAAGAGTATATTTAAATATTCCAGCCTGCATGATTGTTTTTAATCACTTAGGAAGATTGATCACTTTGTGGTGACGTGGAAGGCTTGAGTAATCTCTTGAAGAGGGAGGTTGTTGCATTGTTCTTTCTAACCACAAAGTTTCTTAGTTTTAATATTCAGGACAATAAACAAGCAAGATTTCCGAAGGGAAGGAGCGTAGTAGGATAATTTTAGCTTGTTGGTTGGCAGGACTGTCCTGCAAGCCAACACCTTTTAAATATAAGAGAAGAAGTTTTAATCGGGACATTGACACTGGAAGTCAGAATCAATATTTTATCTTAAGTCATATCCTCAATGTGCAGATTAATGAAAGAATTTGAAGGCTATAGTGATGTAGTATGATGCCATTTATATTCTGCAGTGAGTCGATGTGACGTAGATAAAAGTAATTTCGTGCATTTTGTAAATTCTGTTCGATGACACTGTAACCATTTAGAACATTGTGCGATTCAATGAGGACATTGACCGGACTGTCCGGGGAGTATGTGACATTCGACCAGAATGGCCAAAATGCAATCTCTGCAGAATTCGGAATTTTAGCAGTAAGCCTTCCGGATTGGTGGTTTTTAAGAACTAAGGGCGTTATTGGAACGTTTAGCCAAACGGTGAAGGCTGGAATATTCTAGTATTTTAAAATTTCAAAAATTCGAATGATGACGTCACATTTCTGAGAAATGCTGAAACGGCCATTTTAACAAAAAACGAGTGAAAGAACACAACAACAACATTAGTTGCGCTGACGAGAACAACTTTATCGAAATTGAAGAAGTCGAAATTGAAGAAAAACAGCAGCAGATTGCAGAGAACGTTCCGAGTTGCAACTATTGTGCTGCTACAATAGTTGAAAGGCCGTTGCGAACAACGGTGAAGGGTAAGAAACCAGCCTTCCGTGTTGTCGTGAAATCGAACTTAAGGAGCTTGATTCACCGGATTCAAGAATCCGGAAGGGTCTCGGGACGGAAAAATTTTATTGACTCATATGAACTTTTAGCATCCTGTCATGTCCTGACTTGAATTTAATTGATATTTGGATTAGTTTTGACAAGGATGAGGTGCTAAGAGTTGGGGGGGAAAGGGTTGATCCATCTTCGATGGAGATGATGATTTTTATCTACTGAACAAAAACAATAGTAATATAATAAGTAGTAGCCCTGTTTTTAGGAGTGACCTCGTGGTCTGGGGATACTGAGACCCAGCCATGAGCTCACTATTTTTGCATGTAATTCAGTTAATTTGAGCGTTCTGGTCGAAGCCGGAGAACAGTAACGTTTTTGTCGACCCGATGTTAGAAAAGACCACCGAAAAGTACTGGCTTGGTAGAGACGGTGAAAAACATGCAAAGCTCTGTTTAGACGCTAGCCAGTCGTCTTAAGACTTAGTTTTGTTATCCGTCCATATGTATCTTCCGGGCGAATGTTACAGTAATTTGTAATTTTGCTGTTGATTATTGCCCTCATTCTTCTGTTTTAACGATACTTTCTTCTAATACATTCCAATTTGATAATATATTCTATCCCTTAATCTCATCATTTTAGACATTTTAGTACCAGATTCTGATCACTCGCCTCACAAAAGCCTTTACAACCTATTTTCAAAAAAATATTAGTTAAAAAGTTACCCTCAGTGGTCTGAAACTATGATTTTTAGATTCAGCGTCTTTATCCTCCAACATTTGGCGGATAAAGTCCCTCGGAGGACTTTATCCGCCATGGAGGATATCGCCTGGAGGATAATTACCGTGGAGGATAAAGTCCTGTACCCTCCCGATCCGTTAAATAGTTCGATTAGTACAGCTGATCAGCTAAAACTGCCAATTTTCCCAGTCTACGGTTACAATAAAATTTCGAAGTCGCCATGCATTTTACCGCCATTCTGGTCGAATGTCACAACTCTTGCATCAGTGGTCGATCATTAGTGGAGAAATTCGAACCCCCTAAGTAAGAACGGAAATGTACGAATTGAGGTCTGCTTCAGAACAAGCCGAGTTGTAACTATCTACCCCCATGTGTGGACTTCTACAATCCACTCGGACTTTAAAATCGCCTTTTGGTATTACTTCGAAAACAAATACAATCACCACAAGTCCTGTACATGGTAGTACGGATGTGACTGTCACTCATGCAGAATTAACTAGAAACATTGTTCTTCATAGCAAGAAATTCCTCTAGCGACGCTGGAAATTCAAAACATTAACAACTTAAATGTTCAATTCTTTCAATGCAGGTTGCGTACTTGGCACAATAAATGACAATACAGCTTTCGAATCTTTTTATTGTAATTGCCCGCGACTATCAAAATTACTGAAACACATGGAAACGTGTTTAAAAAACAACTAGAGGATAAAGTCCCATCAGGAGAAATCCTGAAAATGAGCAACAACATCAACTACAACATAAGTCATTAATTTTTTTCATGTGTCACGTTCTCATGAAGAAACGGAGTCCGTTTCTTTTTTTCTTCTTTTTTTTTGGAATAATCAGAAGGTCAAAAGTATCATAGTAACCGAGGTTACAGTCATGAGTCCCTTCATCATGTATTGAAAAGGACTTAAACACTTGTCATCTTCTTTTATCATTTTCACTTCCATATCTAGAAAATTCCAAGGATTTTGACTGGAATACATGATGAAGGGACTCATGACTGTAACCTCGGTTACTATGATACTTTTGACCTTCTGATTACTCCAAAAAAAGAAGAAGAAAAAAAGAAACGGAGTCCGTATCGACTTAATGTTAGTCACATCGACTCTAGTCATCTTCGTTTTATCGCGTCCGTAACTAGTAATATTTAGGAATTTGACTGGAGTATGTGATGGAGGATTACGTCTCAAAAGGTATAATTCCCAAATGGCATAAAAATGAAAAATTTCCCAAATGGCCTAAGTTTCATGCAACAGTTGCATTAAAAAATTCGAGAGCAACTTTTTTGAGATTAATATGAGGAAATTAGTCAAGTTGTCAATTCATTTGTTGATTGTCATTTTATCTTGAAAAAATGGTAGAATTTTATATCAAAAGCGAAAAGCATAAGATTGCGGTTAATGAGAAGCTTCTTGTGTTCAATTTTTCCGACAAATTTGACGCTCAACATTTGTTTGGAAGCAATTAATTCTAAATTTTGTTCACGTGTTTTCGTTCCTGACAAAATTTTAGAATTAAAAACTGAGAAAAAACGTTTGATTCACAAAAAAAACTTAAAATTTATGCCATTTGTGAAAATTTTCTTTTTTATGCCAATTTGGAATTATGCCATTTGCGAAGTTACCGTGATCGAGGGACTCCTGACTGTAACTTCGGTTACTGTGATACTTTTGACCTTCTGATTATCTAGGTAAGCGAAAAAAAAAAGCTTCATACAGGTCTCTAGAAAAATGTCATTAAGATCTAGCTGTTACAGAAAGCTATAACCAGTCGCATGTAAACCTGAACACTACTCGTGTGCGTAATAAAGGGGAAACTCGCTTTTTTTTTGTCTTGGAAACTGAATTAATGCTAGAACTAAAGCTTGTATTAATGATAGATCGCAAAAAATTTTGGGCAGGCAGAATTGATTTAAAGGGCAATATACTGGTTTCAAAATTTTCTGAATCCAAATATCACTTTTGCAATTCAGCTTTGAAATTGCAACCTTGAGACCTAATTTGCATGCAATTATTTTTGGCTCAGGTAATTTGTCCCTTATGTATCAATTCTGTCTATCCGAACTTTTGTCAACTCTCATGATGCGATTTATTTTGTACAAATTTCTTGCTTTTGTTCATATAGTAGTTTCATAACGAGCAGTGCTTGCAATTACCTATACTTCTGCTGTTGTCAAGTACTGTATTTTTTGTTATATTAAGATCAACTTCTGCAAATTTTGTTCTTCCCGCTGAAACCTTATTCATCTCCGACACAAAACTATCAAAATTCATTTGAAGAAAGTACGTGTCATATTCTTAATTAAAAATCCACTAAGTCAGGATATCTTGTTCTTAAAGGACCTAGTTATTCTTCAGGGTTTAATTTTTTCAGATTTGTTTGTCCAATTTAGACGAATTCCTATTGACTCCAGCAAAAATGAGCGGAGAGGTGAGTTGTCATTTATTTATTTTGTCTTTGTTTTTATCCACACGGTCTTTCACTATTTCAAATTACTTCACTATTTCTTTGAGATCATATTTCAAATTAGTTGACAGAGCAAGTTTCTTGTAATCGGGAACTATGCTTTTTTTCACGTAAATCTGTAATAAAGCTTAGTTACTTTATAAGTGAACCTTAGCAACTTTGAGACTACTTCTTACTTGGCCTAAAGGAAACGCGGTTGCTTGGACCCTATGGTCGGGGTATGGGTCGCGGTCGGACCTTGTTTTTTTCAGCATGTATGTAATTGAAAAAAAAATTTGTGGGAAAAATTAAATGCTTTTGTTTGTCTGGTTATCTTTTGTCGGCTTACTTGCCACATTGCGGATTATTGTCGTGCTGTCAGCAAATTTCGTAGATGCAAGTGTTTTTGAGTTTACTCCTACTACTTTTTCTTAGTTTTTTTTTCGCTTAAAAGCTTTTTTCGGCCTGAATGGTTTCGGCTTATGTTTTATAGGCGTAGTTGTATGCATTGTGGGCCCGGGATTACTCCCCTAAACGAGATGAAAGTTGCTGTTCAATTTATCCAAGTACTGGAGATAAGTTCGTTGTAGTCTGTTCGTTCCGAAAGAATTCGTTCAAAGTGTTATTGTAATGAGTCGCTGCAAGGCAAAAATGATTACCTTAATTTTTAACAATTCAGTAGTCTGTGTTGCAGAAGTTTAAAACATAATTGACCAAATTTTTTATGACAACAATTTTATGACCACTTACATTTTGTAGAGTCCAGACAACTAACTTAATTTACTTGTCGAGGAGTCCGCACCAAAACAAATGTGCCTTCAAAATTTACGTTAAAGGTATTTGTACGCGGAATTCACGAATGTTTACTAAGTAGAATTTGTTTAAAGATATGTCTCTGGAATCCAGAAACAACATATAGACACAAGATTATGCGCCTATCGATTGCGCAGTTTGGCCTTGTATTGTTTTATGGCATTTTTTTTGTTTCCCACGTTTGTCGGCTTCGTGGCTGCTCGCTAAAAACCAAAAAGCTATTTTTCTGCAACTTGTGTTTCTTGATTGTTTTTTTTCTGAATTTATTAAGAGTATTGAACGTAGTCAAGACTCTTTTATAGGTCTTGGTGTTTTTTTCCTTTTTTTCAGGAAAAAGTCCTAAAATCTGCTGACGCTTAGTTTTGATTTTTTGCGGTTTGACTTATGATTTCTTCTTAAATTCAGTGCCTTTCCATTGTTAAAAGAAAAGCAAACTTCACTATCGAACAGCAAAAGTGTAAAAGTCACGAAAATTGTGATCGATTAATAGTTATGAAAGTGCTATTCAATTATCAGATTTTCCGGCGAAACAAAATCTTTACGTTTTGACCAATTTCGGTTAATTTTTTGAAAAAATTGTCAATTATCAATTGTTCTAGAAACTCCAAGAGGTTTAAGGCCATCTTTTTCTTCGAAAATCGAAGGCTGACCTTTTTGCAAAAAAAAAGTCATTTTTGTTTCTTTGCATTCATTGCTTTTTTTTTCAACTATCACTTGGCTATGTTTTTTGTTTTTCTTCCCAAAGAAAAATAATTTTTTGATTTTGTTATTTATGCGTCAATTGTTATTTTTTCGATTTTGTTATTTCCGTGTCAATTTCGATTTGCCAAATTGCAAATAATTTTTGGCTTAGATGCCACAGCATGGTCTTAGCTTATGGCTTAAACAAATTTCCAGGTATGTAATGGTCCAAGAAATTTTTTTATATGCGATTCAATTCATTCTCCTTTTAGCTGGTACCTTTTGCATTCTCATTTTGAATTATCTTTTTACAGAAATCTTGTTTATGACAGCTATTCCACTATGGAACGACATACAAAAACATATTGGAAAACGCTGTCTTATTTAATACAATTCAATGTGAAATACAGGAAAGATTAGGTCAGTTTAACGTGGAAACAATCAAAGTTAAGCTTAAGGTTAGGTTTGGTTATGCTCTGGCTAGTCCAAGAAAATTTGCAGAAATGAAAAAATATACTTTTTATGCAACATTTCAGCGCAATTGATGGAAGTTTTGTGGTTTTTCAGTTCTTGGTTAAATAAAAGATAGGAGCCTCTAAAAATTAAAATAAATAGCCTTTGTTAATTAAAAGAAAAGATAATAACATATGGCCTTAGTTGTTGTGGCTTCATGGGAGTCTAGCTGCGTATTGTTGGCTGAATGAGCGCACGCTAAAAACTAAAAGCTTATTTATTGCTGATGGCTGTGTTTCTCAACTATTTTCCTAAGTTGAGTCCGATTTTTCCCGTTTTGTTTTCATTTCAAATATTTTTCTAACTGTTTCTGTCTTTATGCATTTTGCTAGCTTGCAATGCGAAGCTTGCGTTGTATGGCAAGTGATGCTAAGCTCGATTCTGTTTCTGATTGATTACATCGCAAAAATTTGGGAAAAAAAATCCCGTTTTTTTTGCGAATGATTCATCGCTTGGTTCGTTATTATTACTTATAGTATTTGAACCAGATGATCTGTTTTGGGCATGGAATTGTAAGAAGTTAACTGGTTTACCAATGTTGTGTAATTGTCGAAATAAAATTGAGTTTGATGATTTTTTTTACAGGGGAAGGCCATTGAGCCCAAACAAGTAAAATGTATTTAGTTGGTTTTCGAACAGTTTTAAATGAAAATGCAAATTCAATATTGGATCTCATTTGGTAAGCCCGTTTCCGATCCTAACGCCTTGCCTATTTCTAATCTTGATTGTCGCGTCAAATTTTACGGTCATTGAATATTCATTGAATTACGGTCATATTGAATTTAACTAGATTTGAAACAAAGAATAGCGTTTCTTTTATTCCAGGCGGAGCCTGTTAGCAAATATGCTTTTGTAGACTGAGGTTTAGTGGCAGTTTCTTTATCATATTGGTAATTTCAGATGATATTTTAAAAATTGAGGATAATTTGTTTCCAATTTCTAAATGTCTTGACTTGCAAGTGAAGTCTTCAAAATGTGTACAGATCAATAAAGCAGTTATTCAGATTAAAGGAATGTTCGCTCTGTAGATTAGTAACAATCATTGGAACTCCACATAATTGGTCATCTAGCTTCGTTTTCACTCTTTCAGTGCGTTTTGTGGTGTTATGTGTATAACTATCTAGTTGGAAGGTTCTGAGCTTAGCTTAAATATCCTAATGCTGGTAGGCTGTGCTGCTTAATATCCGCGTAGAATTCAGTTTATAGAGTGAGATTGAAGCAAGTGGTGTTTGTGTTCGCTAATACCATCGCCACTTGAATTCCCAATTTGCTTTGCTCAACCGAAAAGAATTTGAATGGTAGCCTGTCTGTTCAAGCCATGTCCTGGAAGACTACTAAGACTACCTTTCTTTCCCATTTCAACGCAATTTTGATTCATTCTGCTCAATACCGATACCATTTGTCTTTATTCTCAACGCCACTCAGTGATTTTGCGTAACAGTTACTAGAATGGTAAAGCTCTACTCGCCACATTATACCTCTACCCGTTCTGCTGTGTGGTATTTTTTTCTTGTGTAGATATTTTGCTGCCGTATTTGCGTAGCTTATTACACGCGATAGTATCTTGGCAAGGGACAGAAGGTAGCAGTAGTTGCTCAGAACTAGAGCGGAATGCTAGTACCACTGCTACTGTTGTAGTAGGTCGCTAAACCAAACCTCTACTCGCCGCTGTTCAATCTATCCTGCCTCCAGTATTCCGTCCATTATTCTATTCCCCTTTTCTCTCTCTCTCTCTCTCTCTCTCTCTCTCTTTTCCCCTGTGTTGTTCAGTGCTACTGCCATTTTGTTGCCTTCAAATCGTCCCCTCCAATCGCACTCTTAGCTTCCTTCCCTGTGCTTGCAGTGAGAGCTACTGAATCTAAATCTAAATCTGTGGGCCTCTTCAACTCAACCATACAATCTCCACGCCATACGCCATACTGTACCGTCGCTTCTCTTCTCGCTCGCCGCGTCTCCGCCGCCATAGCCGCCGCCGCTTTTCTCATTCATTATTTTAAATTTTAAACCTTTTTTTCTTACTTTATCCTCTGTAATCTGTTTGTAGTTTCCGAAAACAGTCAAATATTTGTTGTTTTGTTCCGTGTATAAAAACAACCGCAGCAAACATCGGATTAAATATCCCCGTAGCCATTTTTCCAAAGCAAACAATTGGTTGAAAAAACTACTACGTATTGAGATGTTTGCTAAAGTATAGGTACAAATTACAAATTGAGCGGCTGATTTGATTCGAGAATCAGGTTACAAATAATCTCGCGTATCATATTCCGAATAGAATTGTGAACAGTTTCATTATCAATTCGAAGTTGTTCTGCTTATCTCAGGTCAACTTAAACTAGCATCCATTTCGGGGCTCGATTGGTCGGTCGTTTGTGCCAAGAGTGCTTGTTCTAATCATCATTTATTGCTTGTGCTATCGCCAAATCAGCTGGCTTCAAAGCTAACTGACTAATTACGTTGCGCATCAGCTCAGCTCCATCGAATTAGTGTGGTGGACTGACTCAAAAATACCCGATCTCATCCATTTTGTCAGTGATTAACTTCAAATACACGAGGCTGCTTTTATCCTGTGCAAAAAGGTTTAGATCGCGTTATATAGTACCCTAGCGTCCTTAGTTTTGGATTGGTGAGTTATCCAGCTTATAAATTTCCTTAAAAAAATTTTTTTTTATGGGAGCACATGAGGTTGTATTTTTTTTCGATATCCCATTCAAGATTATAAGCGGGCTATTAGTTTTTGTTATCAATGATTATGATTTGCACTCAATTTAATTTTTGATGGTTTTTGAGCCAGGCTCATCACTTCACTCGTTGTGCATAAGAAACTAAGATTTCAGCAGTTTTTGTGAGAAATTTAACGATGTACGACAAATATGCGAAAAAAAGTTATTACGATTTTCGAGACACGCTACTTTCCTCGATTTTACGAAGCTGATAATTGGAAGTTACTTTTTGCAAGACTATGGTGTTCAAATGATTAC